AACAACTCCTCCGTTTTGGAAGTAGGTTATTACTGAATAAACTGTAAGCCATTAAATTAGTGTGCTGTCATTATTATTATATTATTTATATGATTTTATCATTAGATGCATTATTACTTCCTATTCTTATGCAATTTTCTAGTCTTCATTTTATATAAGTTTCAAAGTTAGATAATAATAGCTTAATCATTCATAATATAATAATTAATAAGCGTGTTACGTATGTGTAATAATATAAAAAATATACATTCTGTCAAGTATTCAAAAAATTAAATGTTTATATTTTTCATCATGTTTTCTTCCTAGTTAAAAAGTAAGATGGTTCGCGTTATAATCATGCAAAATATGTACATGTTTATTACAAGCGTAATATAACTTGAACAATGTTCTGCCTAATTTATTACTTTATAATACTGATGCTGTAATTTTCTTGATAATTTAATGTTTATAAATCTTAACGCAGACATAATTTTCATTAAGAGTTTAAAAGATTCATCAAATTAGAACAAATTAATGCTTTCAAGTGGAATTTGAATCAAAGTAATATGAAGATTTAATTATTCGCATTTTTTGCCAAAATATTCGCTTTTAGAATTGATTTTTTCAATGTCAAAGGAAATATAGGTACTTTATTCGATATGAACGAAATAAGTGAAACTTCTTTCCATATGGCTCCTAATAGATATCATTGTACAATTTGCTATGTATATTACATCTTCGTTTAATAAAAAATATAGAGTATAGTACATAATATACGTGGAATATTTATATAAAGACTAGCATTGCCCGCGGCTCCGCCCGCGTTATGACCAAAAACCAAATTCTTAGGTTTTACATATTAGTATACTCTTATAATGCAGTTTTTATATTTATTCTCAGAAATGAGACATTTTCCCGCGGTAAAAATCCTATATGTTGACCCGGATAACCAGCTATCATCATACCAAATTTCATCAAAATCGGTCCAGTGGTATTCTCGTGATGCGGTAACAGACAGACAGACAAAAATTCTAAAAACTATAGATTCGGACTCTGTATCGATAATAATGTCTATTTCAATAAGATTTTCCAAAAAATATTTAATGTACAGGTTCGACTTAGTTACAATTTTATTATATGTATAGATATTGTAGGTATACATTTTAAATGGAAACCAATTCTATAAATGTAGCTCTAGCTCTTACAGAGAGCTTAATCTACCGAAAATATTTACGCATGTAACAAAAACCTGTCAAGTTATGAAGGAAAATAGGTTGTCCCAAATTGATAAAGGCTTCTTTCTGAAAGCGTTGGGCGTGAGTTACTACGTAATATTTTATCACTGTATAGGTTTAATATTGTATAATAATGGTATACTTTTGTATAGCTAACAAGCTCGAACCTAGCTTTTGCACTCATTACCGCATACCGACGATGTGAATTTTTTTTATGAATGTCGTGTAAGTTGTGCAAGAGTTTCGTCTCACAATAGCTGAATAGTTATTTCCAAAAAGCGATTAATGTACTGTGTGAAATTCATATAACCGATAATAGAATCTGCGACCTCTAGCATTTTAAGCTTTGATAGTTATATACATCATGCCGTGCTCTATCTTAAATTAAAACTTGTATATACATAATCAATCCATACTAATATATTATAAATGTGAAAGTGTGTTTGTTTGTTTGTCCTTCTTTCACGTCGAAACGGTGTAACGGATCGGCGTGATTTTTTCTGTGGAGATAGTTGGAGGGCTGGAGAGTGACATAGGATACTTTTTATCGCGGGAGATTGCTTAATTCCCACGGGAAAACACGTTATAATACAATCCAAAAATATATATTATCAGAGTTACTTGAAACTTGATATATTTGCTCTTCAATAAAATTAAATAAATACGTGTCTTAGCATTTTTCAAAATTAAAAAAATATTAAGTAAAATAGATAGGTAATGAAAGTTTGTATGATACTACCTTTTTAGATATTATTTTGTAGTTTTAGCGCGAGCGAAGCCACAGATTCTGCTAGTATGTATATAATGCGTACATACTTCACATAGCATTCGTATTCCTTTTTGCTAGACACGTAAAACAAATGTCACGTTGAGCGTACGAATATATTTCAAGACGTCTCTACCGCGACAGAATTCATATTAAACTATATGTAGTATCCTTAGGGTGTTTCAGATCAAAGGATATTCATCATTTTGGGCTGGATTTAAATTTTATTAGGTACTGTGCTATTGCGAAAGTCATGTTTTAGACCTTTTTTTAGTATCCTATTGATGGGATGGGGCCTCTCGCATTAAAATAGAAGGGGGATGAGTAAATAGTGGACTATGCACCACACCGGCCAAGTGTGGGCGGACTTCATATATCTTCAAAAACTAGTTAGACTCTCAGACAGGTTTCCGATGTTTTCCTTCACTCTATCGAACGAAATATTAAGATAAAATTGTTTATTTTTGTGTTGATATAATATTTCTGTTATATACCTATATAAAAACTACTGCTATCACAATTTCGAAATAGTTATTTCATTTCAATATTAGTATATACTTACTATTTAGTATTAGCACACAAACTGTATGTATTTTGGCAAATGTTTAATTAAAAAATTAAACAGGTTTTTCCAGTTGATATCTTTTTTATTAAAGAAAACCATTTTACTTTATCGTTTCCTGTTTGGTTAATAAAGATAGCTATACGGCAGTTAAAATGTATTGAAGCATTTTATTTCACTTAATGAATTACATTACAGTACAATTCAAATTGTATTTAAAACAAAATCTATTATTATAAAATCTATCATTACTAACATTACAAATGCGAAAGTGTGTTTATTTTTTTGCAAAAAGTTACGACGGATACGATGGATTGACATTTTATATAATACTAGCGACTCACTCTCGCTACGTTCGGGTTTCGGCCTAGTTACGTTTTAACGTTTAGTATAGATTTCTCAGAGACGAGATATTTTCCCGAAGTAAAAATTATGCTATATGTTGACCCGGATAACCAGCTATCATCATTCCAAATTTCATCAAAATCTGTCCAGTACCTTTCTCGTGATACGGTCACAGACAGACAGACAGACAGACAAGAACTCTAAAAACTATAGATTCGGCCTCTGTATCGATAATTAATATTGACTATTTCAGTAAGATTTTCCAAAAAATATAGGTATAATGTACAGATTCGACTCAGTTAGAATTTTATTATATGAATAGATAGAAAATGCATATAGCATTTTGTATTAAAAGAGTATTTCCGATATATTGGCATTGGCTCGTAAAAGTTTAAATTATTAATTAAAATATATATTCAAATATTATGAAAATAGTAACTGCTAAGACATTTCTGTAACACTTATTTCGTCTATAGAAGAATATTCTATTCAATTTAAATTTTGGGTTTGTATGGAAAACAATACTTAGTCGGGTATCCAATAAAAAAGTCATAAGAGCAAAGCCGAGGCTTACTACTAGTTTTTATTATGTTTTTTTTTATTATATATATAAACTGATGTAGTCGAAAATATTGTGTCATATAATTATAATTTGGCATGCATTATAGATGAGGTTAATGTTCTTAATAAATTGTTATAAAGCAGTCTAGACTTCTTATTTTAACTTAATGGTCTCGTTATGACAGGGTTATCTAAAAATAATATATTTTATAGAACTAATAATGGTTCAGTACAAAAGGACTGACAGTATGATTAGGTGTCATAATTTTCTTTGTAGTCGTGGATCTTTAAGTTTTAAAATAATTATGTATGTACTATTATATGTAGGACGACTCAACTTCGCTTCGCTCGGGTTCGTCCCCAGTTTGTATGGGAAAGCAATTCCCCATACAATCTTTCATCCCCATTTTTACATTAACAGGATGATTTCCGGGATAAAAACTATCGTAGTCCTTTCCAGGGTCTTAAACTATCTTCTTATTAAATTTCATCTAAATCAGTTAGTTAGTTTCGGAGCTTATTCGATACAAACAAACAAAACAATATTTCCTTAAAAATGGTTGTATAAGAAATGTAGAATATGAAAAATCTAACGATTTTTTTAAATATTTTTTTATACTTTTACGTAATTCGTAATTCTAATTGTCGATGACATTGTTATAAAGTAGGAAATAGTAAATAGTGTAAAATTGCTTAACAACTCAGCTCATCACAGCTCATCTGATAACGTATTTGAGAAGAAGTTACATCGTTAATTTCATTGTTTTAAATTCAGTCCATAGTTTTCTCATCATATCCGGATCCATATAATGTTTTCCATTTCCGTTTTGGACCGACTTCAAAAACGGAGATGTTTGTTGTATTTTTAGATACGTCGACGTCTTCAGCAATTATTGTGGGTCGATTTTCATAACTTATTTTAATTAAGATGTTATATTTCAACGGTGTTTTTATTTGAATTACAAAAAATAATAGTGGAAGTTGGTTAATTGGTTTCTAATAAAAAATATATAGATACTACACATTATTTTTACGTATTATTTTAAGTTTAAATGTTGCATTTTGCTTGTTACTTTAATTATATAAAAGCTAGTACTTTTATGACTTAAAGCTAAATGAATATGGGTCGGATGAAGTAAAATATTTACTCAAAAGTATGTTGAGCTGTCTCATTACTGTGATTTCTGCGATGTACGATACGACAGCGCTCTATTAAATTTAAAATGACGAAGTAAACAGATCATTATATAGCAGTGGGTTTAAAAGGAAAGATTAAAAACTGGACTTTTTGATATTTAGGTTAGGTCAAGTTTTTATATGTTTTTTCTTAATGACTATTTTATATGTGTTTGTTTCGATTATATATATAACTGGTGTTATGTTTACATATAAACTCTTAGAAAATAATAAAAATAGCGATAAAATACTTGTTTATACTGAAATGTATTTAATATGTAGTTTTCTTAGAAATATGATAAAGTTAGATTAGTAAAGTAGTAATTAAGTAACATATCCAAAGCAAAATAATTATAAATAATTCTTTTGATAACAGCTTCTCCCAAAAAGTGGACGAGGAGGAGGGCGGCGGCGGAGTCACTCTACACCCGCCAGACGGATTCTACTCCCACCAACATAGTATACACAGTGGTCACCATGCGCACAACGCTGAGCCCGACCGCGGCTATATGGAGGGCAACAGATATGTCACAGCGGTACATCGGCCATTGCCTGGTAAGATATTGGGTAATAAAAGACTTCTTATGTTAATAATGGAAATGTTATGGTGTGTGTTATTGTTACTCCTAAACTTTAAAAGGGCGCGACAACGGGAGTACTCGAACTAGGGACTTTCCTTCTAAGGGAAGCGGATTTTCTTCACAATTTCATTGGTTTTAATTTTTTGGAGCGAATCCTTATTATTATTTTTCTAAAACGAAAGTAGCTTTGGTTACTTCTTATAAAATCAGCTATCTTTCAGTAAAAGTCCCGTTAAAATCAATCCAGTCGTTTTGGAGATTAGCCGGAACAAACAGACAGATAGACAGACAAAATAACTTAAAAAAGATATTTTTCTTATAAGTACCGTATATACTTTTATATGCAATTAGTAAAAAGCTGTTATTTTGACATTACAAACAGACACTTCAAATTTATTTATTTGTATGTATGTATGTATATAATATAGATAAACTATGAGCTGGAGTAAACTATGAAGTGAAGTAATACCTAAGCTTCTCTTAGTAATAAAATTTGCCAAAACATGGCGCTGCCTGTTAATAATATTATAAATACAAGAGGCACATTGTATCTAATGCACCCGAGCAAAGCTAGAGTAAATCACTAGTAATATTATAAATGCGAAAGTGCTCTTCATGCTTTAACCACTGCGATTTGTATGAAATTTAGCAAAGATGACTTTACGATGCGGGTGAAGCCGCGAGAAAATATTAGTATATTACAAATTCAAAATGACACAATGCAATTCAATTGTTATTACCTTAAGTTTATTGTTAAATATTTTGTAATTGTACACTCGAATTGGGGATATGATTTTCAAAAGTCGATTGCAAAATTGTAATAATATCATTATCATTATAAATATCGCGTAAGGTTAAATCCAATGCCGAGCCATAAATAATGTGGCTATTTATTACGCGATAAAATTGTTTACACAAAATATTTGTATTTTCATACATTTAAATAAATATTGTGCTATCTGATTATAGTGATATATTTGTTTTACCAAAATAATACTCGTTTTGTATGTTTTATACTTCAATGAACACTTTTTCATGTCAACATTTGTGTGCTTTAATAAAAAATAACGATAATTATAGGTATTTTATGAACATAGAATTTTATTTTTGCTATAAACGTGAGGAAGAACATATAACTGCGCGTGTTTACAACAACTGTTTATTTATATAACACCTCCAGGTGAATTTCTAAGAAATTAATTAAAATTCTAAGAATTCTATTGTTAACTGACACACCGGCGTGTCCGCGCTCGTGGAGGGAATAACACGCATTGATGGTGGCTTAATCTTTGATACTTATAACATGTATGTATAGCTATTATGCACACATTTTTATAGGAAAATTTTAAGCAGAGAATCGATTTTAAGAAATCTAATAAAGAGTATATGTATATATATAATATATCAGTATCAGTATATATAACTGCCTCAGTAGTGTAGTGGCTAGCATGTACCATATATAGCCCACCGGAGTATGAGAGTGATAGGAATAGAGAGTGCACTTGTGTCTGCGCGTACACTTGAGCACTATAATATCTCCTGCGCAGTTGGCTAATCTCATTGAGATTGGCCGCCGTGGCCGGAATCGGCTAGGAGAACATCATCAGTATATACTATGGAGACGCTTCATAATGCTCATTTAAAGAAAGGTATCCAAATATATGGTACCTACTAGGAAAATGTAGAGCACTATCGTAATAAAAATCTTTAGAAATAAAACTAAACTTCCTTGTCTTGTATCAAAAATTTATAATATGCTCGTAAGTATAAGGAAAACTACTATGCATTATCTTTTACTTACGATAGTCTTTACAATGTTGTGCAGTTATACAAATGAATATATAATTTTAATGTTATCTTTCAACAGCTTTTGTATTATATTTTTATCTTTAATTAAAACGATCACTACACACATTATATGATCATATGGTGACACACTCCGCTCGGGTTCGTCCGTATTGTACTATTAAACGGTTAGTGGGTATAGATTTCTCAGAAATGAGATATTTTCCCACAGTAAAAAGTACTATATATGTTAACCCGTATAACCAGCTATCATCTCAAAATTCATCAAAATCTATCCAGTGGTCATCTCGTGATGCGTTGCCAGACAGACAGAGAGACAGACAAAAATTCTAAAAACTATAGATTCGGCCTCTGTATCGATCATAATGACTATTTCAATAAGATTTTCCAAAAAAATATTCAATGTACAGATTCGACTCCGTTAGAATTTTATTATATGTATAGATATTGCATTTATTTACTATCTGGCTGAATTTTTAAACTAGAACTACTTGTTGTTTGTGAAAAAATGTCAGCCTCTATATTGATAACATATTATAAAGTATGGACCATCCATATTCTATATTTGTGACATTTTGAAACCAACTCGTTCTGAAATCTTGAAATAATTTCCGTATGAGATTAATTTCATACAAGAATATTAAACCACAATCTAAATGAAACTAAAGTCAAGAATATTGTATGAAGTACTTAGGTATAAGATTAGAAGCAAGTGAACTCAAAAACTAACATCAAAGGAAATGCTCCCAAAATACCAGAATATCAAAGTGAGCGAAGTTAAACACGGGAATTGGAATAAGTTGCTAGATGAACTGAAATTGTTTAAGGAGGTTACATTGGATGGTTGTTGTTTGAACTCTTTACTTTTTATTCATTGAATATCTTAATTAAGCATTCTTATCTATTTAGAAATAGTGCTTTTAGAGTTTTTTTATACTGTACTAAAGTTTTAATGAAGCATTGAGTTTTAGTACTTGAAGTAAATTGTGATTTTTATAACACTATCGTGGCAGATTACCAGACATTTCAATTTTCATCCACTATTTCGCCTTTAGTGCAAAAAATCCTTATATAAGGATTTCTTTGTGGAATATATGTAAGATATAACAAAAATTTTGAAAGGATTTCGTTTAAATATATTTTGGATACTTAGGGATAAAATAAGCGGTAGTATATAGTAGTAATACAACGAGTATAGTAATTACAGTCATATCTATCATAATAATATATTTTTTTTAATATTATATTTTATCGTTTTAGGGGTGTCAGTTAATAATAAAACATTATTTTATTGATTGACTAAACTGCCTTAACTTTCCACATTAAAAATAGGTATATGTGGAAAATATATTGTACCTTCATTGGAATTTGGCTCAGCATTTTGTTTTGATTATATACGATGATACAATGCTTTAATATTCAAAAACGTGCTAATATGTAGATATACGAGTAAGTCGAATATAGCCGGGCTATTACAAATGTTGGAGAATTACTGTAATTTATAATTATACTTCAGAAAAAAAGAAATAATTTTTGTCCCGCTGAGTTTCTCTTACTGCTGAGTTTTTAATACATAAAGTTCAGTAAAAAGTCAGTTATTGTAATAATTGATGTTTGTTGCTGATAATTGAATGAAATATTTTATTTATTTATTTGTTTTATTTGTATATTTTATATATTTTGTTTGTTTTTTTTTAAATACAATCTTTGCTATTTCAGCTCTAAACCATTCCAACTCGTCATGCTCGTCCACATCGAACGCGTCGACGGGCGCGGGACTGTGCGCGGGCGCGACAGAACCTGCCCCCCCGCTTTACATCGCCGCCCCACCAGAGGGCTTCGGCCTAGCAGTTCATACCAACAGGTAATGGTTATAAGTATAAGATTTGTTCAGATTACGTTAAGGGTATATATTAGAAAAGTGCAGGAAGAGCCCTTGGAATTTTGTTAGATCATTGATATGTCAACAATCACAAAGTTTTGTAATTTTAAAATATTTTATAAAAATTCAGATATACATATGTATACCTAATACTTTCTTAAATTCACGCGAATATTTGACATTTTAAATAAAACCAAAAATCAAAATAAACCCGCGAAATAACTTGAAAAGATAGTTTTATTTAAAATATATATAGTATGTATGTTTAATCGGATTTTGTTTTATAAATGTGAAGGTTTGTAATACTCCTTCACGCTGACTCGGCTATACGGATTTAGATGAAATTTTATATATAGATAGATAATGATCTCGAAGAAACTATTGTATAGCACCTAGGGATGCAATCTAGTGATGCGAGGACAAGTTATTGGAATACAATTTAAAGTTCATTTTCGGAACCTGTACTGCCAAGATATTATGTACCTATTTACATTGTCGTCCCCCAGAGGAGTTTAACCTCGATATTCATGCCAACAGATAATGAATGTTATCCGAGATATTCAGGTATAAGATATCGCAATAATACTGATCTCTTAGAATTTTCTTAGATCTATACTAATATTATAAAGAGGAAAGATTTGTTTTGTCTTGTTTGTTTGTTTGTACCGAATAGACTCCAAAAATACTGAACTGATTTAGATGTTCAGTAAGAAGATAGTTTGTAACCCTGGGAAGGACATAGGATAGTTTTTATCTCGGAAATCATTCTTTAAGGAGGTGAAAATGGGGGTGAAAGTTTGTATGAGGAAACAGTCAATTGATTGAAAACAAGCCATTGATATCATCATAAAATTTTGTAATTTCGATGTTAACGTAAGAAATGAAAGATGATTTTTTTCGTTCGTTTGAAGGAAATGACGAAACGTTCATTTGACTTAAATAAAATATAGGGCACTGACTCGTAAAGCTCCGCATGAAAAGCTCCTAGATATAATTAAATGTCATGTACTCGTATATGTATATACTAAAGCGTTTTATGTCTTTCTCTTGGGATGGGTGTGGAGTGCGAGAAATCTTTAAATTTATGGCGGGCTTGCTTGAAGTAATATAGTTGATTATCCTGCTTTTACTGGGATGGTTCTTTATTATAAATATATATTATATATATTTTATAACCATATTTTGATTTCTTCTCAAATCTCTACAAATAATAATATTTATTATACAAACATGACTGACTAAATGAATGCCGACGTCCTAAAGTCTCTAATTTATAAATTCTTATTTTAATATTTATCTTTGATTCATGTTTATATTTTCATTTTTCTTTTCACGCTAAACAATAAGCTTCTTGGAAGTGAAAAAGCTTCTTAAACACATCATAATATACAATTACCAAGTTTTTGATTTATGACAACTTATTAATTGAACACACGTGCTTAACTTTTATTTATTGCCCTTTTTATAAAGTTATGACAGTCAATATTTTATTATTTATTTACGATCCATTTACAATATTGTATATTTATCTACGTCGCGGCAACACGTCTATGGCACTGTATTACGAGTTTGTTAAATGTCACAGCTTTGGTTATCTGCTTCATAGGCGGGGCACAGATGTTGGAATCATTGGCACTACCGGAATATCGCAAAAAGATTCAAGTTTACCACAAAAACGTGGCAAATTGACTCGAGGGTATGTCCCTAACCTCAGGAATGCGTTTTGTTAACCAATATCCTCAAAATTCCTGCAATTAACTCGAATGTACTCACTTGTACTGTTCATGAACGCTTGCTATTTAGGACACTGACACACCTCACAAATACCTTAAAAGTTCCTCCACTTTAGTCCATCCATCTAATTCTAAACCATAAAGCATGAATATTAGGACTCTTACACACGACGGAAAATTTCCTTTGTTCATATTTGATACTGTATTTATCCGCGGCATGTTAGTAAATTGACGATTAATGCTTTCCTTCTATAATACTTTTATCAGTTTAAACCTTCAATAATTTGATTCAGACTTTTCCAAATTTGTCAAATTTATCTGTCAATATCTTACATTTATACAATTGCATGTCATTTTAGGAATTTCAATCTTCCAATCCATCAAATTGGCTTATCTTATTAGGGATATTGTCGAAATGAAGAATTTATCAATTATTACCATATCTATCTTCCTTGACTGATAATGTTACATATTATACTTTTAATTACACTTTAACATCTAGTGATAACTATAATTTTATAGATTCATTTATTGAAATTCATTTCTATATATAGCATAGCTTTGAGATCTACCTAATATTTTAGATCCATGACATCAGCAAAAGTCATATTTTCGTACAACTATCACACGTAAACTCTACAGAAGTAAGAACTGTTTTAGGTAATGACCAGAGCATTGTTAAGCACTTACCTACTATATCTATTTAAATTCAACGATTATTTAATTTTCGATAATACTACTACCACTGATAAAATTGTTTATTTTTCCTTTTGCTGATGCAATGAATTAATCCATTTAAAGTATAGTTTCACGAAAAAGTTCTTTACTGTAAAGTTTTTACTTTATGTATCTTATTTTCCAGTCGTTATGAAATGTCCCAAGATCTCCTTGACAAGCAAGTCGAGATACTAGAAAGGCGATACGGTGGACTAAGAGCAAGGCGGGCGGCAGTCACGATACAAAGGGCTTTCCGACGACGACAATTGTTAAAGAAATTTAGCGCGATCACAGCAATGGCGAAAGCAGCTGATTCCAACGCAAGGAGATTGCAAGATGGTGACCATCTGCTTGTCAATGGTAAGTATTATAAAGCATCTTATTTTCAATATTATTCTTTCAAGTTTTGATGTAAGTCACAACTTCACAATTTCAACACAAAATACTTGGCTAGCAAATGTAATTTTTTGGCAAGGCATCAAGGACACAACCTCGTAGCAAATGCAGGTTTATGTCCAACATCCAATATGAGATGTCTTGAAGTTGGCTAGTTATATAAAAAGTCATTCTAAGCTTCTAACGTATAAAGTACTTTTGTAAACCTAATCTTTGCTAAATAGAACACTTTATATTTTCCATTCAGCTAAAATTAGGCTTCAAAATTGGAGGTGTACCGGCATAAGTTCTTCGAAGAATATGAAAAAAATAAAAAATATAATAACTTTAAAATATTTAAATAATGTTGAGTTATAATAAAGTGTTAGCGCTAATAATGTAAAATATAACATGAATATCCATTGCGCTAAAACCGAAACGTTTATTTCAATGTTAATGTCATTATATTCCGATTTGTAAATAACCTTGTCTGTCGTTTTGTAGTTTTTGAACAACTTGCATTGCCAAAACTTAAGTTCACGGAGACTGGTTGACGTTTTAATTATATCGACTTCTACGTTCAATACAAATTGGGCTCGAAGGACCACTTTTGAATATTTAAATGTAAAGCTATTTATATGTAATATTATTCCGTATATGGATTTTTTTTCGTACAGCACAATTTAATAGTATAGGTGGGATAGAATTTGATAACAATACATATGTACGCTTAAAAGTTTGGTTTATTTTAAATTTTTCCTAGTATTTGCGTGTACATTTCCTATTGAAAAATTAGATTTAATATATATATTTTGAATTTAGATTTAATATAGATATTTTTAATATTTTCAATAAGAGGTGGATCAGGTCATAGTCCATCACGCTGGCCAAGTGCTGGTTGGTAAATTTCACATGCCTTTCGTAAACCTGCGAAGTTCTCTCAGAAATGCAAGTTTCCTCACGATGCTTCCTTCATCGTAAGACAAGTGACAATTATGTTAAAAATGATTTGCACATGAAAATTTAAGAGGTGCAAGACTCGGGATTTGAACCCTCTTCACCATTGGGCTACCACTGTCTTAGATTTATAAAATTTTAAATATTTCATAACCGTTATTTTCAGGTAACGACATTTACGCAAACACACATCTACAGAAGAGCCCCAGTGGCCAAGAGAAGTCACTCGCGCTTACTAGACCTATGCGGTCCATGTCGTTGAGAGAACGACACGACATTGATATGAGGTAATATAAAATATTGCTTTTTATTGTCATATTTAGATACTTATAAAAACTTTTTAACAAAAAATAAAAACCAGGCACTAAAATGTAAAATAGAACTAAACGGAGATCTTCATTTAGAATAGATACCTAATCAGACATTTTGAAGTCGGTGCCAGCCGATGCAAAGCAAATCTAATATATTTCGATACGTAAAATACATAATATTTGCCTATTAGATATTCATATCTTAAAATATGGTAGGCTGGCACCGACTTCGAAAATATCTGATTAGGTATCTATTCTAAACGAAAACCTCCGTTTAGTTATTTTTAACATTTTAGTGCCTGGAAGTCGGTTATATAGACGTAATTGAGCAGGTAATTTGTAAGAAGAAACTTTTTTAATAACATATTCTATTAAACAATTTATTTAAAAAATATATTTATTGTTGACTTTTTTTAAACCGCTCGATCGATTTTGATAAAATTTATATGGGACCACCTGGGAAGTATACCCTTTGAAACAAAAAAAAATTCCAAGTCGGTTCAGGCGTCTTCGAGTAATCGGTGAACATACATAAAAAAAAAGATTCCGACGAATTGAGAACCTCCTCCTTTTTGAAATTGGAAGTCAGTTAAAAGGCATTTTTACTGTTAGTTACATATATGTACATATAAATTAATAGTATTTTCTTAAAACCCACCTATATTTATATACTCTAAAAAGAAGAAAATAAAGTTTAAATTAAATCACACCATACAATTTATCACATTACACAATTTATATGATATACAAGCTTGTTGCGAGATTTAGCTATTTTAATGTGGACTTACTTTACATTTTGAGTTTATTTTTTGTAATTATGTAGAATTAATTATATTGTAATTACCTTAAGTTTTTACTATTCAAATATTTTTTCATCAGATCTCGTGTGATTCGCGCGTCATGCAAAATAAACTGACTTATTTTTTGATACAAACGTAAAATTAATAATATAAAGAAACACAAAAAAAATGAAATGAAATATTAAATGACGTACTTAAGTTTTTGCAAGTAACAAAAAATATAAATAATTTCGAACAAAGAATCGCTATTGCGATTCAGTGGGAGTGCACTAGTCTATAGCCAATATTCGACACGTACAATGTACGTACATATGCCTTGTATAGTAAGTATTAACTGTAGTCTATATATAATTGTATGGAGTTAAATATACATCGATTTAATATTATTGTATTTATATTTGTTCATAAATAATCTTACTATTTTACTTATTATTATTATAAATGTGAAAGTTTAGATGTTTCGATATTTGAATGTTTGTAATTCAACTCGACGGTTGGACGGATCTGAATGAAATTGGGCACAGAGGTAGATTATAGTCTGGAATAGCACATAGACTGCATTTTATCCCGGAAAAATGTACGGTTCCCGTGGGATAGATTTGTTATTGTTTTTCTAGATGGGAATCCGAGCGAGGGTGAGCCGCTAGTCTTCTGTATAAATAAAAATGAGTGTTTGTATTGCATTCCTACACCATTGATTCGAATGTGATGAAACTCTGGTGGATTATTCTGTATAATGTTCTTGGCGTATTAAAAATAATTTTTCTTTGTTCGTTTGGTTTTATCCTAAACCATTCAAGCTTAATATATAAAAATATAAACAAATAATTATCTACAGTACGAATTACTTTCCAGTAACCACATGACATGCGACCCTCAGAACGAAGTGGAAGCCATGGTCGCTCGAGTACAACAGTCTGCCCATCAGATACATATGATGGCTTCAGAGATACCTCCTCATCATCGTGGTGATGCTGATAGTGGGGTGAGTTGGGATAGATAGTTAATTTCTATTCTATTATGAGAAGTAGATTTGGTTGGTAAGATGGGTGAGAAGGGGAGAAAAGGACTGACTAAGTGCAGTGTTACAGTCTCGTTCTAGCCCTTTTTATTGTGCTATTGCGGGGCACGAGATTCCCTTAAATGTGACGGGACTCAAGTCTCAGTCCACCACGCTTACCAAGTGCGGGTTGGCGGGCTTCACATGTTTTTCTAAAACTAGTTAGGTTCTCTCAGGCATGCATATTTCTTTCTCTTCATCATTAGATGTGTGGTTATCATTTTAAAAATTATTCACGAATGAAAATAGAGGTGCGTGGCCCGGGGTTTGAACCCACTTAATATGGTTTCCCAAGCGAGCGCGCTACCGCTGCGCTACCACTGCCACACCGGCTTTACAATAGTTAATTAAAATTATATTAATTGGCTATTAATTAATGCCTCTTTAATTGTGGCTGGTTTAGGTTGAAATTTTTTAAGTTATACTTAAAAAATTATTACATTAAGAGAGTAAAATTTTTACAATGTGCGCGCACACCGACAAACAAAAAGCGATATGATGAAGTTAGCTGAAAGCGACATGATGAAGTTAGCTGCATTCGTTTTACAAACAGAGAGTACATACGGGATGAAATCTTTAGCTATTTTTAAGATAAAAAAGTATAACTTCTTACGTGAGTATCACACGTTTTTTTTAATTTGTCTTTGTTTTTTTCATATCGAATTGAGACGACGTGGTGTTAGAAACCACAGTAAATTTAAGTCATATTTTTGATACACTTTTATACATATTAACTAGAAGTTGTATTTAAAAAAGTGAGAAACATTTTTAGTTTTCCGAAATGCCGGTTATCGCATTAGAACCATTCTGTCATTGCCAAAGTTGATATTCTTGAATAACAAAACCAAATATTTGCGCGTTTAATTATCGCATTATATACGTCACATTTTAATACAGTAAGCGATATACTCTGAAATATATTTCACAAAAATGCTCCCTGACACCTTGGAATAAGTACAATAATTCTTTGACATTATTTTGAGTTAGAGTGATACGAATGTGGCATATTGTAAAAGTTTTTATCAGTTATTCGCGTGACATGAAAGCATATTAACGTGTGCCATAGAAAATTCAAAATGGATAGTAAAACGAAAAAGATGTTAAGAAATTTTTTGAAGAGTAGTAATTTTGTGTTGATCAATAAAGTGACTAAGATTAGAGTGTGGCGGGGTGGGACGAGTATGACATATGAAGTGCGTGTATTTTTGGTTATTTTATAGTATATTTCATTATTATTATTTTTATCCTTTAAAATCTCTTCAATTACGAATGTAATTTTTACTATACATATAACATAAGCCAAGTGTAAAATAATGGAGGGGGAAATTTAAAGGGGTAACTAGGATTGTGACAAAAACTTTCTTACTAATCGGCATGTGTTTAAGATTACTGCTTTCTGGAGAAGTATGTATGTGGAAGGATGAATATTAAGAATTTTAAGACTTTGATGTAGTGTTTTTGGAATAACTCCGGTTCTAGATATAACTATAGGTATGATTTTAGTGGAATTTACTTTCCATTGGGTTTTAATCTCGATCGCCAAATCTGTATACTTTGATATTTTTTCAGTATAAGTCGAAGCTAAATTATGTGTATTGCAGATCGAAATATCAATTAAGTAGACAGAATTACATTCTTTATCAAAAATGGTTACATCTGGTCTGTTGTTATGTATTGTTTTGTCGGTGACTATAGTTCTATCCCAGTAGATTTTACTTTTATTGTTCTCTAATACTGACTGCGGTTCATATTTATAATAGGGTATTTTTTCGGGAGTAAATTAATACGAGAGTTTGTTTGTGTATATGTTGCTCATTCGCGCTGAAATTAATGAAATTTGAAAGAAATTTAGTACACATATAGGATATAACCTGAAGTAACACGAGCTATTAGTAATAAAATTTACCAAAATATGACACTGCCTGTACCTATATAATGTTATAAATATAAAAGGTACCTGCGGGTGCACCCGAGCGAACAAGAGTGTGCAAGTCGCTAGTATAAGTGTTTTAGGAAATAGACTATTAATGAAACACAATATTTTCATATCTTTTATTGCAAGAATTTGATATAGATAATCAGAAGAAAACTATAGTAACTGATTGTTAGTTTAGATTGTGTGCTAATCTATGATAATCGTAATTTTCCGTCCAATGTATCGAACCACGTATAGAGAAAGACCTGAAAGCGAAAAGTTGACTGTACTTTCATTTACATTGCTTTGTTTCAAAAGTGATATAAAATAAACACCCTACATTTTTATCTAAAATTTAAGTAGGTAATTGTATGAAAATGATTTTTTTCAAACATGAATATCTCTTGCATCACGATGTAGGAAAATGTCTGAGAGAACTTAACTAGTTAAAACACTTGCGAAATTCGCCAACCCGCACTTGGCCACTACAGTGGTCTTTGGCCTGATTCTAGACTATGGTCTTAATCTATAGCCGTCTCGCATTGGAGGTAGGCCCGAGCCCAGCAGTAGGCCGTTAAAAAGAATATTGTTATAATGGAAATCTATACATAATATAATAAAATTGTTACTAAGCTGAATCTATACATAAAATATTTTTTGGAAAATCTTATTGAAATAGACATTATTTTCGATACAGAGACCGAATCTATAGTTTTTAGAATTTTTCTCTGTCTGTCTCTCTGTGATGGCATCACGAAAAACCCCCGGGCCAGATTTTGATGGGTATAATGACAGCTTGTTATCCGCGTCAACATATAGGATACTTTTTACTGCGGGAAAATATCTCATCTCTGAGCTAAACGTTAAAACGTTACTAGGGACGACCCCGAGCGGAGCGAGGGTGAGTTTCTAGCGACTATATACGACTATAATTAATTGTGAAAATATTGGCATAATAATTTAAAGTCCAAAATGTTTCATGCTTACAAATCGTGCTGTTAATGTAAACTGTTTTTATATCATATTCATGTGATAATCATCAAGATTATTTAATTGATATATCAAGAATGATATTTGGACATAACACCTTCTCTTATCGCTTCTACTGGTGACAAGAGATCTGGCTCGTTTTTCACCCAAACAATCGGCACCGCTATTCAGCAGGGAATGCGCCTAGCGTTCTTGCCACTATTCCACTCCGATATGACATACATATATACATTTGTTTTGTATATATGTTGCAGTCAAAAATATTTTTTTGTCAAAACTACTTTAGACCAACATTTTTAGTCAGAACTACTTTTGACTAAAGAGGTTGATCAAAACTAAGAGATGAAGGATGAAGTGCTTTAATTTTTTTATTGAATGACTTGCTAATTAAAAACTTAAACAATTTGAAAGAAGTAACTTCTATATGGATACCTCAAACTAAAGAATTATATTGATGGAACTCGAAAAAAGAAATAGTCCATAAAAGTGCTATTTGCTATTTATGCTACTATTATAGGTTTTGCCATACAGATCGTTTATTTTCTTTAAAGAATATAAGAATTATAATATATATATATATATATATATATATATATATATATATATATATATATATATATGTCGTGTTATCCATATAAATAAATAAATTTTAAATTAATCAATTAATTATATGTTAATTTTTATTTCAAATGTAAATGTATATTGTTATCTAATTTATAGTTTTTATTGTTGTTGTGTTATAATAAATAAATTATTATTATTATTATTATATACTACGAACATCATCTTTGGTGGTTACTCATCTTGTGGGCGTTATCAGGGCTCAAATAATAAAGTATTCAGTGCTCAATACACAATTTAATCAGGGAAGTCACAATGTTATAAACTTGAAACGGTAATTCTAATGATTTAGAGCTAGCGGGTTCACAGTCACCGATCATCGACTTCCAACTACAATATCAAATATAATTCTCTATGATCAACCAACGTTACTAAGCCACGTATCTCCAAAGAATGTCGTGATGGCGTCTCGACCCCGCTCGAGACTAAATCTCTGCTCTAAATTCAAAATCACTAAAAAGTAAATTAAAGAACATAGTGACTTTAAACAATAATAAGGTTTCATAACAGAAAAAGGTAACTAAATCCTCCTCCGTCTCGGCCGTCCTGCTGTTCACACGCCCTCGGGTGATCTTGTGGGGCACTCACCACCGCTATTTCTTCTACCACGGCCGTCCTGCTGTTCACGCGCCCTCGTGTGATATTGAAAATCGATCTATAGAAAAAGTAACATTAGCTCGGCTATTCCTGACCAAATAACTGACCATGGTGGCCAAACTTACTAAAACTAGCCATCGGTGCAGTAGATATTAAGTGCAAAAGTGTACGCTCAGACAGGCATAGACAAACACAGACAAATTCCAATGTGCCTAACACAGTGAGTATTGGGCAAATTTTTGCTTTATATGTTAACAATATACAGCGATTCACATCATTCATTCTCCCTAACTAGTTTTCTTTAAGACAAATTTGTTAATACTGAATCTTTAAAATGACTAAAACCTAAAAAACTATACACACGAAGTTATCATTGAGTACAATTTACAGAAGTTTCTCGTATGTCAATCAAGTCGGTGCCACACAGGCCAGTCGATGCCACACAGGCCAGTCGGTGCCACACAGGCCAATCGGTGCCTCACAGGCTACTACTCCGGCGACTCTCGCCACTCAAACTACATTTGCTACAAAGACTCGTCAACGCCAAATAGACACCCCATTGTCTTAATACCACCTTCCACCATCGTCGCACAGCAATATCAGAATCATACAGCCTCATCGTGCTACTTCGGCTTGTCAATGTTACATAACTTCGTCAATTCAGTCACCCTAGCTTGTGCTACGTAGGTTCATTAATGTTAAGCTGCTAGATATTATTGGAAATAACTAAAATTATAATAATTAGAACCGTATATAACGGTACATTCTGAGATCACTTGCCTCACATATCTAAACATAATGGAAACGTCTCACCATATAACATTCATATTAGATTAAATAAAACAGTCCACAGATATCCATTTTTTTGCACAGCCCAAACATCTCTGGATACCGTCTTCTTCTAAGGCATCGTATACGTCTGATGTGATCTGGTTTAGCGTAAACTAAACTGGCTAAAGCAAGGCGTCCTCTTTACGCTAAATACATATTTTGAACACTAGAAACGAAGCACCTGAAAATTCATATTATTTAATATTGTGCCACATTTGATATTACTATCTGCCCGATCTAATTATGTTTAATCTTTGGAACAAATAAGGACATATGAAATCGGTATTATAATCAAAGATTTCTATCTCAGCGTGCGTATGAGAATGTCTTCGGAGTGTACACAAACATTATTTTTCGCTGTATTGCCATTAATACAGTTGACTATTTCTCATATTTCTTTTGGAACATATTTTACCTAATGGACTGCTAGAAAATTTTTAAATTAGTATCAACTGCTAAATAAAATTTTTATAACAGAAATGAATACGCAAGTTAAAGGAACTATGTAATTTTCCCAATATAATGCGCAAATATCGTCCGTTTATTTTCCGTCGATAAATAGTTAAATCTGTTAGTCAAATCTTTAAACAAAAATATCAACTCATTATTTTCACTTTAGAAATCCTGAAATAAAGAAAATATAAAACAAACAATTACAATACAAAACATTTTTTGACATCCTAAAATTCTGACATGATTTATATTTTATTTCAGAACTAGAAGAAGGTTCTTATAAGCATCGAACAAAAACATTTCAAAAATAAATCTCGTAATTTATCGATTAAATAAATTAACTTCATATATCATCCTGAAATAAACAAATTTTCCATTTAATTTTTCCATACATATTGTGTTCAAAAATATTTCTGCGATAATATCAAGAAAATCAAATCCAGCTAGCAACAAATCTTTGACGATGTCATGTCATGCCATAAAAATTAAATTGAGACATCTATGATTATTTTAATCTTTTGAGCATCTTGCATATCATATATCATGATAATTCATCATTATCAAAGTAAAAGTAAATCTTCTGTAAAACAACCCGCATATGCATCGCCATTTTGTGCGTCATTTTTAACATTTGACATCGCATTTCGTTTCAAAGTCTGAAAAATTTTTTTTAGCAAAATTTTCAAATGGCCACTGTCATCTATCTTTGCCCTGTTCTTCGGGTATCATCCACTTCTGATGTCGTGTTATCCATATACTACGAACATCATCTTTGGTGGTTACTCATCTTGTGGGCGTTATCAGGGCTCAAATAATAAAGTATTCAGTGCTCAATACACAATTTAATCAGGGAAGTCACAATGTTATAAACTTGAAACGGTAATTCTAATGATTTAGAGCTAGCGGGTTCACAGTCACCGATCATCGACTTCCAACTACAATATCAAATATAATTCTCTATGATCAACCAACGTTACTAAGCCACGTATCTCCAAAGAATGTCGTGATGGCGTCTCGACCCCGCTCGAGACTAAATCTCTGCTCTAAATTCAAAATCACTAAAAAGTAAATTAAAGAACATAGTGACTTTAAACAATAATAAGGTTTCATAACAGAAAAAGGTAACTAAATCCTCCTCCGTCTTATATATATATATATATGTGATACATAGTAAACAAATGCATAAGATTTTATAATATCTTCCGGTACGATGTACATTTACTGGGTTATTGACTTTTGATAAAATGATTAGCTTATCTAATTATGCTGAGATAATGTTTATTGTTTACTATAAACTAGAACATTATAAGACTCTAGAATTTCGAATCTTTTTATTAGCCATTTTTTAGCTTGAAAACGTTTAAAATATATCCTGAGATTATTTGTTGATATGCATTCGATATATTTTTTGCAAAAAATAAAAAGTACACACTACCTTAATTTTGTTTAGATCAAAGATATAATTTCCCAAAAATAAAGAATTGGAAGAACTTCCAGAATCGGATCAGTATGTGCGGAGTTAACCTCCTTCAAGCACACTCAAAAATTCTATCTGATATATAAATATCTCGTGTCACGATGTTTGTGGTCGCTCTCCTTCGAAACGGCTCGACCATTCTAATAGTTTTTATTTTGTACATTTGGTAGGTATGAGAATAGATCGTAAAGTATTTTTCACACTCCTACCCCCATCCCCATTTTGTAATCGCGGTTTTAATATTTTTGTATAGTAGTATTTTATGTAGTTTTGTGTAGTAGTATGAACAATATTATATAAATACGTCGAACCCGAGCGAAGCGTGGGTGAATCCCTGTATAACAAAGAGTTTATAGATTAAACGCCGGCGTAGTCGCGGGCGCTGCTAGTTTCTTTATATTATGAGTATATACACCAATATTTTAATGACAGCTATAAAGTACCAAATAAAGTTTATGATTTTTTTTGATAATACAGCACATATTTTATGATGTAAGGCGCCGCTTATTACTCACTATAAAGGTTGACCGTAAACCGTATTTTTACAATAAAATATATGTTATACAAAATAAAGTAGCAAAATGTCGAAAAAGGATAACTTATCTCTTTAAGAGATTTCTTCCACAAACCTTTCAAAAGTGAGAAAATAAGTTAATTTAGGTGTTTACTGAGAAGAATACGAAAAGCTTGTTTTTAAAAATGTTTTCTTATTATTATTTTATAAATGTTTTATGTGGTATAAATATTTTATAAACATAATAAAAGAGTTAGATAAAATAAACAATTTTTGTTGTTTTTTTTTCCACAGGTGTGCAGTTGTTCTGTAAGCGGATCGGTGACGAACATTTCTACATCTTCCTCGCACAATGAATCTCTACACAACCACCAACTATTAAATAATTCAGGTAATTTTTATTCATATCACCTCCAGGTAAATTTCTAAGAAATTAATTAAAATTCTAAGAAATCTATTGTTAAATTTAATAATATTAAATAATATTACAATACATATCCCCATGACTTCGGTTAAGAGGACATTATAAGTTGTACGATAGTCTTTTAAACGCGAATAAACGGACAAAGAATTTATATTTAATAATAACACTGTTTTTAGTAATGAATACTCGATTTTTTTTCAATTACTGACACAGGATCCTATTGTCATACAATACCTGTGTGGGAATCGCGTTTTGACAACTTATAATTATTATGTCAATTGATTCATGGTGTCAGCTACCCAATTTCACCCATAGCTTATAATCTACCTCAATATGAATTCTTTTTCATTCTCTACACTATATCAAATTGGACTGGTACATCCTGAGTAAAGTGTGTTGACACATACATTAATAGTTCATATTATAAATATACTAGCGATTTATCGTCGCTTCGCTTGGGTTCGTCTCTAGATACATTGCAACGGTTAGTGTGGAATAGATAGAATTTTGTGTATATGTGTATACATAGGTAGGATGAGTTAATATCCCTTACTTGAAAAATTATTCATTCCCCATACAAACTTTCATCTCTTTTTTCACTCCTTTAAGGGATGATTTCCAGGATAAAATTCTATGTTCTTCCTCGGGTCTCAAACTATTTCCATACTAAATTTCATTTAAATCGGTTCTGCGGATTTTTAGTTTATTCATTACAAACAAAAATACATTTTTTTCTTCTCTTTATAATATTAATATAGACTAAAAGCGACTTACAAGAAACAGACAGACAGACAAAAAATTTACAAATTGTGTTCTTATAAGTACCGTGTATAATTTCATATTATGCATTCAGTAAAAAGTTGTTACATTACAAACAGACACTTCAATTTTATTTATCTGTATAGATTACGTTCTTTTCCTAGGTCCTATATACGGCAACCTGCTGTCGTCAGGTGGCAAGCCCCTATCATCTCCCACCGCGCGTCAGCAACAGCAACTAGCAGCAATACAAGCGGCGAATGCAAGACGACTGCCCCCGGAAGTACCGAAACGGACTAGCAGTATTACACTTAAGTATGTTTGTTTCTTCACTCTTTTGCTTAATGTATGAGTTTTGGTGAGTTTCTTTATTTCATCTGTCTCTTTCTGTCATTTTGTTTTACAAACGTTATTGTGTTTTTAACGGTTAATATCAAGATCATGTCAAATAATTAAGAAAATGCTTTTTCATCTTAATCCTAAAGAAGCATTTTCAATTTTTTTTCCTAAAGTATTAAAAACGTCATTGTACACAATTATTTTGAAAAAATAAAGTAATGTAACAAATTACCTGCCGCAAACCGTAGGAGTTTCATAGTGGCTAAACTTTCGCTTTTAAATAAATCACGAAAAGTAGGTAGCGGCAAATTTATTAAGACGTAACTGTAATAGTAAACAAGGGCAAAAAAATCACTCACGCACGCAATCTGCACTATTATACACTAGTAACACATATTTACATAGCTCTTCTGTAGTTTTTGATAAATATATATAATGTATATTTTAAATAAAACTACCTTTTCGGATTTTTTTGCGGATTTATTTTGATTTTTGGTTCCCGACGTTTCGAATCCTTTCTGCAATCATGGTCACGGGAGAGAGTCTATCCGAAAAGATAGTTTTCTTTTAAAATGTCAAATATACGCGTAAATTTATGAAAGTAATTTTTGTATTCCAGTGCCGAAAGTCCAGTGTCATTGAGACGAGCAGAATGTGGAGGAGCGGTAGTGCGGGGAGGGTCGATGTCGTCAGTGCAGTCGTCGTCCTCCTCGTCATCACAGGAGCATCGTCATCATTACCATCAGCCGTACCAGCCGAGAGCGCCGGTGAGTGTGTGGCTTATAGTATTCTATATGTACGGTTTTATAACACGTTTTGGATTTTGAGGATTTTTTATGCATTTTATGGAATTGAAATGGAATGATAGGGAATATATGTATGAAATAAATTATCGAAGGAATGGAAACATTATGACGTTGCTAAGTAGCTTAAATTCTAGCTTGAGAGAAATATATGTATACATATATCCAAGACGCGACATACTTGCTTATTATTAAACGATGATATTTACAGTTTTATGCTTTTCCATATTTATTTTATAGTGCGTATATTTATAACTTTTCTCTTATTAGCCATCAAAAATTGAAGTACTTTAAAACGTTACAATATAACATAAACGTAATGAACAAAAAAACAGGAACCCCACATCCACATCCAAGAGCAACAGTTCCAGCAACACGCGCGCACAGCCTCCGGCACTCTGTACGAGGGGGAGAGGTACGCGGTGTGGAAGAGACAGGAAGCTCCACCATACTACGAGGCACCACCTCCGGCCACCTGCTGCAGGCCACAACATGATCACCACCAGCACACCCACCAACCGCCGCTAAAGGTAAGTGAAAATTAAAAAGAAAAAAAATCCTCCTGACGATTTTTGGTTATGGTGCTCAGTCTCGCAATTCGAGATGGGGAGTTGATGTGGATGAAATCAAAGGGTCTCCCGCACTACGGATTGATGTGGGTTACAGCATGATCACTACCAACTCGCCAACAATCGCTGAAGGTAAATTTAATGTTTTTCTGACTGATTTCGGTCACTTGGTATGGCTTGACCAGCTAAGGTCATGGTGAGCAATCAGATTTATTGCATTAGAAATAGGGGCTTCCCCGTACTATTGACAACTACAAGCTACAGCATGATTTCTATCTTTACATGCATCAACAACCACTGAAGGTAAGTTTTGATGATCTGACCGTTTTCGGTTATAATGGTCAATCTAAGTTGATATCTGTAGAGTTGATGTGGAAGAAATCTAGGCTCCCCCGTTGTAAGAATTGCTCCGGGTCACAGCATGATCACTACCAGTTCATCCACCAACAACCGCTGAAAGTTAGTGAAAAGTAAAAAAAATGTAAGTTCTCTTGACCGACTTCGGTCACGCGATATAATGGCATAGATTGCTACCACCATTAAGTAAAATTCCACTATTTTTAATAAGTGGATTCATTATATTGAAAGCCATGAGCTTACAGTATGTTCTTATATAATTTAATTTGGCTTAAATATGTATTTTTTAATTAATTATTTTCGTCCAATAGGTATCAGAAACAGTCCGCAAACGCCAGTACCGGGTGGGACTGAACCTGTTCAACAAGAAACCTGAACGTGGCATCGCATACCTTATCTCGCGAGGGTTTCTCGAGAACTCTCCGCGCGGTGTCGCGCGCTTTCTCATCACCAGGAAAGGCCTCAGCAAACAGATGATTGGCGAATACTTGGGCAATTTGCAGAGCCAATTCAACATGGCTGTGTTGGAGTGAGTGTGGTTTTGTATATATTTTTGGGTTTGGACGGTCGTTTTGTATGGGAAAAGGATGACGAGCAGTATATGAGTTCGATTCTCATAAGTTTCGGCCAATTTGTTGTTTTGTCCAGTAGAAAGGAGAATTACTTGATTACAATCTATGATGCGATGTCCTGACTGTTTTGTCTGCTCTCCTTAATGAGATGCTAGAGCATGGGTTTGCGTTTTACTCGGTTACTAGAGAACTCGCTGTGAGGCCACTAACTTCACTTATTATGAATCGATGTTATTTTTTTATATCACTTATATTTTAAGTCAGTGCTATTTTGGAATTTGAATTTATATTATCTTGTTTCCAACATGATTATCTCTTGTCTTACGGGGAAGGAAAACATCGTGAGGAAACCTGCGTGTTTGAGAGAACCTAGCAAGTTTTCGAGAGACATGTGTAGTCCGCACTTGGCCATGGTGGATTATGGCCTGATCCCCCTCTTATTAAAAGGGCTGAATACATATACAATATATATAGATTATATTGTTAAAAAAAACACTTAATATTTATTATCTTCTAGGTGTTTCGTCAACGAGCTTGATTTGTCCGGTATGGCGGTAGATGTAGCCTTACGCAGATATCAGGCTCACTTCAGACTGCCTGGCGAGGCTCAGAAGATAGAGCGTCTGGTCGAGGCCTTCGCGAGGCGGTACTGCGTGTGTAACACCGACTTTGTGCAACGGCTACGTACTCAGGACACGGTGAGATGACGTTTTGTGGCTAGCTCCTTTATACATGTGTTGTCCCAGTACTTATAATATTAATTGTTTATTTAAAAACGTAAAAGAAAAACTGACTTCCAGACACTAAAAAGTAAAAAATAACTCACGGGGGTTTTCATTTACTATAGATACCTAATCAGATATTTTAAAAGTCGGTGCCAGCCGTTGTAAAGCAAAACTATTTCGATATGTAGCGAATCATGGTCGGGAGAGGCTCCCGTGACCATGATTGCTGTAAAGTATTTTAAAGTAAACCTTAGGAACGAAAAATCAAAATAAGAAATCCGAAAACCTCCTCCTTTTTTGAAGTCGTTTGAAAATACATTTTTTTTATTTTCTTATGAGATACGTTTTGTAGGTCTTCTTTATATTTTATTTTGTCCTGCAAAATCGAGAATAGTAGCATAAACAGCAAATCACGCTACTATTTTTGTCTTTGGCATTTATTTTTTTCGGACTCCCTCTATGTAATTCTTTAGTCTGAGCATGCAGTGTCCTTAGTTATAAAACGGTTCATAGTTGCTATTTCTTGGCATTTTATCTCGGAGCAGTCTACATACTCTGTACAATGTATTAGCTGAGATGCCATTTTATATTTGACGACACGTTTTGCTCAGTTTGAGTGACCCTATTGGCTGTGCCAGCGGTCGCGGCTTCGACTCCCGTTGGGGGTATTCGTTTTATTTTATATTCTTTGTGTTTTAATTTTTCCTTTATCTTTTGTTCTTGTATTTTATGTTATATGTAGTGTATCAACTATCTGGTATCCATAATACATGCTACGAACTTACATGTAACAAGATGGTTCTGTGGGTTAATGTCCCAACATATTTGTTTATTTATACTTGATTTTTAATTATACTATCTATCTCCATTTTAGATATTCGTATTAGCATTCGCAATAATAATGCTAAATACGGACCTGCACACGCCAAACCTGAAGCCCGAGGCTCGCATGTCGCTGGACGACTTCGTGCGAAACCTCCGTGGTATAGACGATTGTGGGGATATCGATAGGGACATGTTGGCCGGGATCTACGATAGAGTGAAGGCGAGCGAGTTCAGGCCTGGAAGTGATCATGTTACGCAGGTTTGTTCACTTACACCATCTGTATGTATTATGTAATATGTGTTATGTATATATATATATATATATATATATATATATATATATATATATATATATATATATATATATACATAACACATATTATATAATACATACAAATAAATAATTTAAACTATGTTTGTTATCTATATGAAATTATATACGGTACTTTAAAAAAAAATTTTTTGGAAAAGTTGTCTGTCTGTTGGTTTATTCTGGCTGGATAGCTGATGTTATTAGGAGTAGTTTAGGCTACTTTTATTTCCGAAAAAAAAATTATTGTTCCGTTCAAAAAAAATAAAACGCACCCACCGAAGTGAATCTAGCTAGCTAGTTTAATTTATAAAATTATTTTATTCTTATTTTTAGTCACTAACATTGTTTGTTTATATAGATTTTGGTGTACGTGTGTTCATAATTATTTTTCTGAACGGCTAGACCGATATTTGTGTACTTTAAAGTCGTGTATATAGTATAATATATTTTATATGTAATAATTAACTTAATATTAATTAGTTTTATATATTTTGCCAGGTGATGAAAGTGCAAGCAACAATCGTGGGTAAAAAACCCCACCTGGCCCTCCCGCACCGGCGGCTAGTATGCTACTGCCGGCTGTATGAAATACCTGATATACATAAGAAGGAGCGTCCTGGTGTACATCAGAGAGAGGTAATTAGTCAATAAAAATTGTATTTTAATCTATTAATAAATTATAAAACTAGTACCTAGTTCTGCGAACAGTAGACCTCACGAGCACAAACTTTTTTACGACAATTATATATACCACTAAAGTTATGTGAGCCAATTACTGCATTTTAAGGAGATATTCTGCTCATCATGCTGAAGATTCTCATTAGACCTTCACCATTTTTTTAAAAGACCAACTTAAACTTACCTTTCAAATATAAAAGAACCATTGAAATCGGGTCTTATAAGGCGGAATATCTACGTACTTGCCCCCTTTTTGGAAAAAGTAGTCCAATCAAAAATCCCAAAAAAAAACTAAAAAGTCGTAAAACCTGTATAACAAGTTTCGTCCAGATCGGTTGTATTTAGAACCTTAACTGCCTCGTTATATAGCTCGTGTAGTTGCAGATCTTAAGGCCCTGGATTCGATGTCCGGATCGAGAAAAATATACTTATTGATTTTTTCTGTCTAGTATTCTTAGTAATAATCCGGAATTGAGTCTTACTGCAAATGTCGTATTGTACTCTTCACTCCTTCAGAATCTTATCCGTATATATCTTTATACCATAATTAGGGACTCACTCTCGCTTCGCTCGGTTTCGTCCCTAGCTTTCTTGCCAATACAAACTTTCATTCCCATTTTCACCTCTTAAGGGATGATTTCCGGAATAAAAAGTCCTATGCCCTTCCCAGGGTCTCAAACTATCTTTTTACCAAATTTCATCTTAATCGGTTCAGTAAATCCAGAGATTACCCCCCTATAACGTCACAAATTCATAGATGATGATGTTCACCTGACCGATTCTGGCCACGGCGGCCAATCTCATTGAGACTAGCCAACTGCGCAGGAGATATTATAGTGCACAAGTGTACGCGCAGACACAAGTGCACTCTCTATTCCTGTCACTCTCATACTCTGGTGGGACGACCACTCAACACGACCAGTGAGAGTTAAGGCGCAGGACCGACGGATTTACGTGCTCTCCGAGGCACGGGGGTGAAACATCTCCAACTTTCCAACTCCGGGCTGTTACTGAGGCTTAATATACAGAAAGACTCAATAACTAAACTTGGCCCGACCCGGGACTCAAACCCAGGACCTCCGGGTGTGCAGCCGTATATGCTAGCCACTACACCACCGAGGCACAAATTGATAGACTCACACACTTACAAACTTTATCTCTTTATAATATTAGTATAGAAAACATCATAACATAAATCCAATTCCACAGGTGTTCCTATTCAACGATCTGCTAGTAATAACGAAGATATTCAGTAAGAAGAAGTCGTCAGTGACGTACACGTTCCGACAGTCGTTCCCGCTCTGTGGGATGCTTGTCAATCTGTTTTCAGTGCCACGTGAGTATGGAAGTTGTTTGAATTTATAGAAACTAGCAGTACCCGCGGCTTCGTCCTTAAACTTTCGATCGCTGCTAAACTTCTCAGGTTCACCCACTGAGCCTTAAAGATTGCCTAAAATTTCATCAAAATCGCTCCAGCCGTTTCGGACACCACGCACTTGGCCAGCCAAGTGCGCGTTGGTGGACTTCACATGTCTTTCGAAAACTTGCTAGGTTCTCTAAGACATGCAGGTTTCCTCACAATGTTTTCCTTTACCGTAAGACATGTGGTAATCATGTTGGAAGTAATTCACACATGAAAATATGTTGTAGAGCTGCAAGACTTCCTTTCGCGGTGCCACTGAAATTGATTAAATTGTAAATAAATAATGGTTACCACTACCTTTGCCGTTTGCTGGACTACCACTGCCTTTTTAAAGGTTCTATTCTTTTTGATTTTGATATTTATATATATATATTTTTCTAGATTACCCATTCGGTATTCGTCTCTCGCGCCGCGTGGACGGGCGTCGGCTGGCGACGTTCAACGCTCGCAACGAGCACGACCGGTGCAAGTTCGCGGAGGACCTGCGCGAGAGTGTAGCCGAGATGGACGAGATGGAGGCTATGAGGATTGAGGCGGAGTTGAATAGAGGCAAGCGGAGCACGGGCAACTCCGGAAGGAATGGTTAGTTTAGGTGGAGATTAGTTCAAGAATATTAAGCGATAATGGAGAAGTTTCAGGCTTTTTTGTGAATCAAATATAAAAATTGCTATATTTTTTATTTTAAATTGCTGTTAGTAATTCTTTTAATATGACAATATGTTGATAAGTGTTGTTCATTTTGTCTTGTTTAATTTGATAAATTTAATTTAACTCTCTAAGAGAGTTTTTGAAATTAAGAGCACTTATATATATATTGTATGTAATGCCTGGGCAAGTGATCTGCGCTCGGCGTGTTTTGGAAAAGATATAAAAATTGCTGTTTTTTTTTCAGAAATGACGCCTATATATAGAGAGAAAACTTAAAAAATAAAACCTTGTCTAAATACAAAATTTGATCCAAATCGTTAGAGCCGTTTTTGCTCATATAATATTATAGTATAAAAAAGTTTAATTCAATGCTTTCACATGATACATAATATTAATATTTTATGTAATACTCTATTTAGTATTAAAATACGTAAGTATTTTATTAAGAATGTAAAATATAGATGTTATTGCAGTAATGGAAAACCGGGACAGTGGAGTGGCGGATGTGGAAATTGATCACCAACAGTGCATGGACCACGTGCACGTTCATGGGTATGTGGAAATATTTGTCTTGTAAGCTTATTTATTTGCTATTATTACAAAAATTTCGACTGACTTACAAAAATGGACGTTTAGATATCTATATGTTATTTGTATAATAATAACAACGAGACATAAATGGGTGATTTCGTGAGAGGAAAAATATTTTATTCCCGACGCAAACATTTCAGCTGTGAAGTGTTTGATGCTAATTCCGTTTGCGTCGGGAGAAAGGTATTTTGCCACTTCCGGATTCCCGCATTTATGTCCAGTAGTGTTATTACATTACAAATATAGGACGCGAAACATAGAACTTATGTTATTTATATGCCTATGTTACGCGATATCTACTTTAATTGAGGACCAATTTTTGGCATTCTATTTTAAATGAATAGGGTCATACATACTAACAAATAGTAACAGATCTGTCAGAAGGCAAAATTGTTTTTTTAAATGATTATTGAATTTAAAAAAATACTAATTTATTGAAGTCGGTCTTCGTTTTTAGTTAAGAAGTTTTTAGTTTTTAGAAAAAATGCATTCACTTTCATGTATGTAGCTACAAGCAGAAGATATAAAATGTAGTTAATATAAACAAATATTTGTATTTCAGTGTGGTGGTGCCCCCTCCCCCCTCGTGCCCCGCGCCCGCGGCGCCCGCGCGCCTGTCGCAGAACCCCCCACCGACTAGCATCATCAAGCGGAACGTGCTCAGCAATTCACTCGTTGATATAAATGATCCTGGTGAGTTTGTGTATTATCACACTTGGTATATATATAATTTTACTAATAATAAAATTTAAGGGCGGTCAAGTCTATCTGTATATTAAATATTTTTTGATGAAACATAGCAACAATCGCTTTTTTTTAAATGTATGTCTGTATGTCATTTTATTTGTCTGTCGGTCTATCTCTCTGTCTGCAAGTTAATTTATTCGCGTTTCACGCAACACTACTGTACGGATTTACCGTATTATTTCTTTGGTATAAAATTTTCACTTTAACAGATAATTATCATAATCTGTATTGATGCAGAAGTGACTCTTTTTTTAGTGTTCCGTACATGCATGGAGATTTTGACGCTCGCAAGGGAATCCAAACCTATAGAGAAAACTTCCCGTTAACATAGAATTATAAAATTTGGCAAGAAACCGAAAACCGTCACATAACAAGAAAAACACTTTCTTTTCGAGATTATAAAGTTATTTTAATGTTTCATGCTACGGAACCCTCAGCGTGCATGTCAGACTCACACTTGTCCGATTTTTTTCTTTCATTATTTACTGAATATTTATCAAATAACCGACAATATTTTCTACATAGTGGCATTAGCGGCTGAGCGTCTCCAACGGCGTGGCTCAGTGGGCTCGCTGGACAGCGGCATGTCGGTGTCCTTCCAGCAGGGGAGCCGCACCGCCCTGCACGCCACGTCCCCGCGACACCCGCCCGACCAGCGCTCGCCTGGTAAGCCGAAATATACTCTATGTCAATACACTTAAAGGCTCTTTTAGAACGTCAACTTCCAAATCAAAATCTAGTATTAGTAGAAGTATTCAGCCCTTTTTAACGTCCTCCCTTCAGTAGTAGCCGAGTGGTAACGCGCTCACTTGGGTTACCGAGTGAAGCGAGTTCAAATCTTGGGTCTCGCACCTCTGATATTTTCATGTGTGAATCATTTCTAACATGATTACCACTTGTCTTACGGTGAAGGAAAATATTGTGAGGAAACCTGCATGTCTTTGAGAACCTAGCAAGTTTTCAAAAGACATGTCAAATCCGCCAACCCGCACTGGTCCGCAGCGTGGTGGCCTAATTCCCTTGTACTGAATTGAGACCCGTGCCCAGCAGTGGGACGTTAAAAAGAGCTAAATATTTTCCGGCATACAAAGTAGCCTATGTGCTATTCCAGACTATAATCTATCTCTGTGTCAAATTTCATCAAGATCCGTTCAGCCGTCCTGGCATGAAAGAGTAACAAACATCCATACATACTCACAAACTTTCACATTTATAATATTAATACATATAAACCTTATAATTTCTATCATGAAATAATATTTAATAAATATATTTGTCAACAGGTCGACTTTTCGGAGGCATATTTCCCGGGCGTCAAAGAAAACTAAGCGCATCAGGTGTTCCAGACACCAAAGCAGGGGTCGGCAAGAGCACAGAAGTATAAAACATCAACTCAAATATCTCTCCTATTCACTTCGAGAAATTTCCACACACACACACAGACACTTCACGCAAGTTTATGTATTTTAAAATGGTGACTTAATATAGCGTAAGTCACTTCTTTTGCTACGTGTTGAGTAAATGACGTTTTAATCTTTGTGTTAACGAAGATTGTCTAGAAATATGTTTTCTTTTTAAAAACGTAAGAGAAAACTTATATTACAACTTGAATATTTATATATTGCTATTTGATTAGACAAAGGCAGATTGTGTCTGATCATCTTCTATCTTTCTTTTTTTATAGATCTATAATCTTATTGTGTTGTCTGTGGTATATGTATAGCTACTTCATTGACATTTCAGTATAAGCTATTTTGGGTTCTTAAGTGCCATCTTTATGATAATTTCAAATAACAATAAAAAAGGATTTAACGAAATGGAGAATTATAAATAATAGAAAAATAATTAATAAAGTTGAAAAACTATAAAGAATTTTGAAGGATTGCGAGTTAATCTGTATATCGGATTATTCATCAGGGTATAAACGGAGGGTAGTTTGATATTCGATTATACTAAACAAATATAAGACGTCCGAAAAATTTTGGCACATACTGTAGGATGTTGTTCCAAGGTACAAAGGCATTTCAATAACACACGCTGGCAGTCGCTAGTACGTGCCAAGCTATACCGACTCATGACTTTAAAATTATACTAAATATGGCAATCTTTACGAAATTATTCGTAATATCGTTTATAAATGGGAATATGTTCGGAGAGGACAACGAAAAGTAGTTGCAGGTTCGAATTCTTTGGGGCCATGGTTTTGGGGGATGTTTTATTCGAAATATATGTACGTTTAGTCGTAATTTTTAATGACAGGTGGTTAAGGATCGCGTTAGTTACAGGGTTGCGTAACCGATTTGACAGTTGTTCCGTGGTTATCATTCAAATTTGGACAAAATAGCTTAGAAAATTATTGGAACTAATATTAAATATCTTAAATGTTACGTACATTATAGTAGAATCCATTGCACGTTACCAGCCACAAAGTATTAAAGATTTACTTTATTAAAAATTAACTATTAAATCGAAGAGTTTTATCTTTTTTAGAATAGTTGTACATACGTTCGGAATAGATACAATAGAAAATGTATAACGTCACAGTATTTTTAAATTTCTTTCAGCACAAAGCATTTTATCATAGTGTCGCAGTAAATTATATTATATACGAATTTATTCAAATTATTGTTGAAATTATAGATATACATTCTCTTTTAAGCCTTTTGGCGGTAATGCCGTACAAATTCAGTTTTAGAGTCCTTAGATATGCTTATATTCTGCGAACTCAGCGTCTACTGAGATCCTGTCCATTACATATATGTACCTTTAATAGAACAAACTCTTATATGACAATTTTAAATAACTTTACCATCTTTACACTAAATCTGTTATATTTCATAAGAAATATCTCAAGATAGCACTATAGTAAGTAAGAAAAATATGATCAAATAATAATTCAGACGTGACTTTGTTCTAAGAAAGGTACAAATTCCTATACCAAATAAAATTCTTGTCCATTTAACAGAATAAGATGTATCCTATTAATTATCTTTCGTACCTATAACGTCTTGTATTTGACAATAAAGCGCCGATATTTACTTTACATTTGACTTGCTAAGCAATTTTTACTGTATTTATAAAGGATTTTCTAAAAACTGTTTGTCTGGATTTACATAAACATTGTTGCTATCTTTCCATGAGGGCTAGATGTCTGTACTATGAGTTTATTTGCCGATTTTAACTTAAAAGGTGCTTTTGAAAATGATATAAGTTTTTGGAATCATTTAATAATTTTAAAACAGTTGAATTGAAAAACTACTTTGAAAAGTTACATTTTTCTTTTTTAGTTCTCATCTAGTGAAGATTTTGAAATTAAGTTATGAAATATAACTTATTAACATTTACATATATGCTTAATTTAATAATTGCTATTTTTTTAACTGGTATTCGACTCTAGCCATCGTCCAAAACTGGCTTCACTCCACAATGTTACCAATTCTACTCCCATACATTACCATTACACCTAAAATTATCTATACACATTAATTTAGTATAAGCTTCAGTTTGAAAAGTATAATTTAATTTTGCGCCAAATTTAATGATTTTGATTGACGGGGCGTTATAAATGATTTTTAGTTCAATCATTAGTTTTTTTAATCCCACTATTATTTATATTATTAATGCGAAAGTTTGGATGAATGTTTCTTACTCAATCACGCTAGAATGCCTGAACGGATTTGGATGAAATTTGTGGCATAGAGATAGATTATAGTCTGGAATAGCACATAGATTAATTTTTATTCCGAAAAAATGTAAGGTTCCCGTGGGACAGATTTGTTTTTGTTATTCACCAGAAAAGAACCCGAGTGAAATGAGGGCGAGTTGCTAGTGGTTGTATAAAAAAACAAATTAGTATATAGTATGCTGCAATATTTATGGCAAATGACATTGAAGTAAAATACGATTTCATGTGTTATTTGCTTTTATATGTATTTATCAATTAGGTGTCTAATTCTCTAAATATTTTAATTAATATCGCCCCGCCATTTTCATTACATATTTGTATTTTAGGCATTTCAGAAAATGCCTAGTTTTCGTAATCGTATCTACTTTTAAATCCTTTCCATTTGACTTGGAAGTCTGATAATGTGGAATCTTGACTTAATTAAACTATTATAAATTAGTATGAGAAAAGTAATTCATGAAATATTTCCTAAAGTGTAGTAATATTTGCGATTACGATTAATCACTTTTAATCGATATTCATTATACCTGTCAAATGTTAGAATTATTGTCGTTGCAATAAGCCTTCATTTATTTGTTTTTTGTTTTGTTTTGTGTATAACATAATAAATAAAAAAATATATAGATAATATAATTTCATTATTATATTTAGTTAATATATTCATTAAATTTGAAAATCGATATTTAATAATTAATCGTAATCGCAACGGTCACATATGAGACCAAATAAATTGTATTCTCACTTTTGAAGTTGTCTTTAATTAGTTAATAATGTTGACTTTGTATCGAACGTAGGCTCGTTGTTTCTACTATTTGATACGTGGGTAGATAGAAAAATAAATGACTTGTTGACATGGATTTGCAATGTACGGTGGTCGGGACGAGTGTATAGGTGAGGTAAATTTTTATTTGGGGCTGGAATATTTTCCTATTATTAATTTTTTTTACCATCATAAAAAATAAACCATAAATATTATTATATCATCATAAAAAACCATAATATTGCATTTAATTTTTTTTCCTACCTAAAATGGTGTTTTTTTTATCTGATCATTTTTTTATTGAAGATTTTTTTGCTCCAAGTTACATTGTACAAAATTGTACGAATGCGTATACGTTACGTACAAATATTTAAATAATCTGTCCAATTAAATTATTGTACTGTTGAATCTCCATTTATCGTATATTATAAGCTTTTGGGTTTCAGCTTTATATTGTAAGAGGTTTTAGTCGGCCATAAGGATTTTTATGGATTATAAGTGAGGAAATGCCCTTAAGTGATTTCAATATGGCGTTCTTTTCTTATTATCTATGAATAGCATATTCATATTTTCATAGTAAAATAATTATGGTGGACTAAAACCTAATTTAAAAATTCATGTTTGTGCTAATTCTAAATTTAGAGTAATGCATTGATGTAAAAGGAATTGATCAATTGTATCGTCGTTGGATTTTGAACCTTATTGTAATCTATATTCGTATGTGAGAACGGTTTCTTTCTATTTCAAGCGAGCTTTTGTCTCGAAAATTATATTTTAAATTCAATAATGAGGTGGTACTTATTTTCTTTTTTAAATTGCCAATAAATTAATAAAATGTTACACGTGAATGAGTTTTGGAATGTTATAGTTTTTTTTGAAAATTTGGCAAATATTTTTCAGTAATATTTACTCTGTGTTTTTGAAATATCCAAAATTGTGTGGAATGGCCTTGTATTGCTTTTGTAAATTTCGCTTGAAGCCAAAGATGTATTTTGATTGTGTTCACGTTCCAAGAGACGCGTGTTTTGTGTTAAAAATGTATATTTTTTTAGATTTGTCATTTACTTGAATGTCATCCATTACTTTATATTGAAACTGTCACTGAGCTGTCAAATCTGACAATTACTGAACTACAGTTTAAAAATCAAGTGAAAAGCAATTAACAAATTAAAAGTTTATATTTTTAATTTAAAGCTTTTTATTATTATTTTTGACAGCTCAGTGCGTGTGTTTTAGTTTGAAACTAATTTTCTGTAACATAAACCGTACTAACTTATATATTATATGTATATTTTAGAGTTTGTTTAATATATATCTTTTAGTTCATAATTGTTATAGAGTAAGCAATAAACGCATTCGGCGTCTCCCTGTATGATGTATTATAATGTTGTTGAGAGTTGCTACAACTAAGTCACTTACATTAGTCTTATTTAAAAAAAAACATGAAAATGTATTTATTTATTAAATATGAATTAACATTCATGAGGGTTTTTGTTGTTTTATTTTGTTCCCAGATATTTTTTTTTGTTAATTTTTTTCTTTTTTTTTAATTGGCGATACTTAATTTTGTTGAGAAATATTCTTTAAACAGCTGTTAATACTTATTAATCTCGAATTTAGAAGTCATTTTAAATATGTTATTAATATTATTTATCTTAAAAATATTGGAAGAACTAAACAAAAAATAGCGTTAGTTTTTTTCCATAGAATTCATATTTTCAGTAAAACTTCAACATATAATAATGTTTTTAATGTAATTATTTGTAGATATATATTCACAATTTTTGTTTCATTGTAGATTATCACTTGTAATAAAAGTATAATCTATAGAAAATTTTAAATTTGTGACTATACATTTTTAAACATTGGCTAAAATTCACTAAATTTAGACAGACGAACTTTGAAACTTAAGCGATAGTAGTACAACTTTTTGCAA